GTATTGTCTACACGTGCATAATATTATCAATTTGTTTATTCTGTTACTTTGATGAGTAAAAAATTTTCTCTTTTTTGGGCATGTTGCTGTTTTGAAACGAAGTCTCCCTATAGCCCCACCTGGCCTGGTGGTCACTATGTGGACCTGGCTGGTCTTAGTCTCACAGAGATCTGCCTGCCTCTGACTCTGGAGTGCTGGGATTAAAGGAGTGAACTACCATGCCCAGTCCAAAGCAATTTTTAAGACCCATTAATTTTGAGAAAAATTTTATCAGACTAAAAAATTATCACTGAGATTCAACAATGCCAGAGTGTCTCTCACCAAACTCTCCTCTAGATCCTTCACAGAAAGTACGCATCTGCAGTTATCGACTGCAAACACAGGCAGGCTTAGTGATGGTCAACTTGCATTCTCAATCTTTATTCGGGGTTCTCTTCAAGTATAATCCGAATAATAGTTAATGTGTTGTAAAATTTCCCCTCACTTATTAGCACTGCCTCTAACAGACTGAGCTAACCAGCCACACATATTTCCCCTCACTTATGATACTGAAAGGCCCCACTCAAAGTTATTGGTGTACATTCTGGATAATTTGATATTGACTTGAGTGTTTTATTTCCTTAAAGTAATAAAATCTCTTCTCCCAATTTCATTGTTTTTAGATTTTTTTAATTTGTTTTTCCTGGCCCACAGCTCCCCTGTGTATTTTGGTGTGATGTACTTGTGGAGAAAAGAATCAAATGAAGAAATTACAGATGAAGCAATAATCCGGAAACCAATGTCCCTTTTCCTGGGAATGCGGAGAGCTGGTGAGGGGGAAGCTCCTGACAGGATCTGGCCGGTAGGTGGAGCCTTACACACCAGGGCAGCAGGCGGTGCTGCCACAGCTCTTAGTTGAGGGAGCACAGGGGGAAGTGCAGTTGGACTGTGTGGCCTCTCCTGGGTGGGACAGCGCTGCTCTCAATCTGTTATTGAACAAAGCCAGGACACAGCAGGAATCATGGCTTTGCTCTAGCTGTGCTGAAGGTCTGCTCTCTTCACTTGGAGGTAAATTCTCTTTTCTTTACTTCTTGGCCTGCAATAGGAATAAAATTAGACATGGGAGAAAGAAGTTGTGAGGAGCTGAAAAGAAAAAGAAAGTGAACAATAAATAATGAAACAAAAATTAGGTAAAGGTTTTGTCCAAGTCTCTGCTGACAGTGTGTTCTGAGTGATGGTTTTCATAAAGAAAATGGACAGAGTTTAATGGATGACTAATAGGAGAGGGTGTTTCTGAGAAAAAGTAGAACTGGACTAAATAAATTCCCTTAGGGTGTTTCACCTTCCTGAATAACAGAACGTAGTTAAAGACTAATGTAACTTTCCATCGGTTAAATATAATGATTGGAAAATCCAGATACTTTTGTCAGTTCTCAAATAGAATTTGAGAAATACTTGTCACTGAAGTTCTTTTCAAGTATTTGATGAGTGAAGAATGAACTAGAACATGTGTTCAGCCTGTGCATTTCCTCAGTCACCTCGCCCCTATGAATACTTGGATGCTGCTGGTGCTCTTGGGAGGACTGCCACTTTCTTTACTGTGCTGTTTGCAGCCAGGCTCTTTGCACATGTTCCTGTTCATATTGTCAGGTGTGGGCTACCCCAGCTCCCCCACTCCTCCCACAATTTCCCCACATGGCCTCAGTTTCTGGACCAGTCCACTCTGAGATGGGGATTGCAGAAGTTCATCAAATGATCCAGTGGCAGAGTAGGTCTCTCAGGCTCCAGACAGGAAGACAATCAAATCTATTGATCTCCCATAGTCTCCACACTGAGCAACAGAGCATCAGCAACACCAACAATAATGGTGGTCATGGCATAGATGGTGGCGGCAGCACCAGTGTCAGCCACATTACCAGTGTCAGCCACTGCATCAACAATAGCAGCAGCATCAACAACACCAACAGCAGCAGCATCAGTAATGGCAGTGGACACAGTAACAGTAGCAAACACTGCATCAATGGCAGGGCCAAGAACAGCGGTAGTAATGGTAAAAGCAGCAGCAAGAATGACAATGACAATAGCAGCAAGAATGGCAACAACAGATGCAACAACCACAGCAGCATCACCAGCAGCAGCAGCAACAACAAAAGCAACAGTAGCAACAGAACAAGCAATGACATGAAGACCAACAGGAGCAGCATTAACAGCAGCAGCAATAGTAGCAGCAACACTAAGAGTGCTTGCAGCAACAATAACAGTAGCAGCAGCAACAGCAAAAACAGTATCGACAACATCAACAGCAAGATGGGCGACAACAACAATATAAACAACAGCAGCTATAGCGGCAATAATACTAACAGAAATAGCAGCAACAATAAACAGCAGAAACAAGAACACCAGCAAGAGCAGCAGCAGCAATAACGTCAGCAACAGTAACAGTTGGACCAGCAGTGACAACAGTTACAAATACACCAGTAACAATGACATCAGCAACAGCAGCAGCAACAAGAACATTGGTAAAAACAACAATAACAGTAGCATTAGCACCAGCAACAATTGTATTAGTAACAACAGCAGCAGTCCCAGCAACAGTGGTAGCAACAACAATAGTAGCAACAGCAGCGACAACAACAACAGCAGCAACAACAGTTACACCAGTAACAGTAGCAGCACCGGAAGCACCAGTAGTAATAGCTGCATTAGCACCAGCAACAACAGTGTTAGCAACCGGAGCAGCAACAGCAATGGCAAAGAAAACATGAACATCAGCAACAGCAACAACAGTAATAGCTGCATTAGCAGCAGCACCACTAGCATTAGCATCAGCAGCAGCAACAATAACACCAGCAGCAGCAGCAGCATTAGCAACAATAACAACATCAGCAGCAGCAGCCCCAGCAACAGCAGCAGCAACAATAGTAGCAATGACAGCAGAGGCAACAACAATAGTAGCATTAGCAGCAGCAGTAATTGTATTAGCAGCAACAGCAGAAGCAAGCACAACAATAACACCAGCAACAGCAGCAGCAGCAACAACAGCAGCAAGAGAAGCAGCAGCAGCAGCAACAACAACAGTTACACCAGTATCAGTAGCAGCATTGGAAGCAACAATAATAATAGCTGCATTAGCACCAGCAGCAATAGCATTAGTAACATCAGCAGCAGCAACAATAACACCAGCAACATCAGCAGCAGCAATAGCGGTAACAATAATAGCAGCATTAGCACCAGCAACAAAAACAGCAACATCAACAGCAGCAGCAACAGCAACAGCAGTAACAACAGCAGTACCAGTGGTAATAATAGTGGCTACATTAGCACCAGCAACAGCAGCAGCAACAACAGCAGTAACAACAGCAGCACTAGTTGTAACAATAGTAGCTACATTAACACCGGCAACAACAGCATTAGTAAGTCACAACAGCAGTAGCAGCAACAGCAGCAGCAGCAACAATAACATCAGTAACAACATCAACAACAGGAGCAACAACAATAACATCAGCAAGAGCAGCAGCACCGGAAGTAACAATAGTAACTCCATTAGTAGCAGCAACAATAACAGCAACAACAGCAACAGCAGTAGCAACAACAATTACACCCATTACAACAGCAGCACCAGAATAACAATAGAAATAGCTACATTAGCACCAGCAGCAGCAGCAGCAACAATAACGTCAGTAACAACATCAACAACAGAAGCAACAACAATAACATCAGCAAGAGCAGCAGCACCGGAAGTAACAATAGTAACTCCATTAGCACCAGCAACAATAACAGCAACAACAGCAACAGCAGTAGCAACAACAATTATACCCATTACAACAGCAGCACCAGAATAACAATAGAAATAGCTACATTAGCACCAGCAACAACAGCATTAGCAACAGAAGTAGCAACAATAACATCAGTAACAACATCAGTAACAGCAACAGCATCAGTAACAATAGTAATAGCTGCATTAGCACTTGCAGCAGCATCAGCAACAATAACAGCAACAGCAGAAACAGAAGTAGCATCATCAACATCTGCAACAACAGCAACAGCTGCAGAAGCAACTGCAGCAGCATCAACAGATTTCAAAATGTAATTTCTGATTGACAGTGTCAGTGGAGTTCTTATTTTATAGAACAACTGTGAAAACTTGCATGAACAGTAATGCTGCCTCCAGGGCAAGTATCAAGCCCTGCACATTATATGCATCACCTCCTTTATTAGTTATGAAAATAGCAGGTACTGAGACACCGAGGCCACCCAGATGGGATGTGTGAGCATGGTCTGTTGGAGTCTATGTGTTCCTCCCCTTGTGTACAACTGCCTGCTGCTGGAGCTGGCCAAGGAAAGGCCTGGGAGGACTTTGGTGTGCAGTAAGACTCTGGGCTTTATTCTGCCAGGATGTGGATAATGCCTGCTTGGTGTGAGCCAGGTGCTGTGCTCTGCTGCAGGGATACATAGTGCTCAGGATGTGGTCTCTGTCCTCCAGGGTGAGGTTCATGTACACAGGAAGGTGTCTTCTGACGGCAGGGGCTGGCTTCACTTAGAGGCTTCAAACTCAAATGTTCACATGAACCAGGCCCAGGACGATAGGAAATGCTGGGGACTGTGGTCTACTACAAAGGCGTGCTCTCCAGAGAATGGAGCCACCATTTGGTGCCCACAAATTGTCACCAAGAGGAACTGTATGCTTGGGTTCCCACATCTGGGTCTGTCACAGTTCCTGGAAGTCCAGCTATGTGGCATTTCCCACTTTAGAAAAGGCTGTGTGGTTAGACAAAGCATTCGAGAACTTTGTCCTGTGTGACCTCTGGCTCAACCAAGGCTGGTGTTAATTCTCTACTCAAGTTTGAGGAAAAGCTTCAGACTTCTGGGATTCAGCAGCATTTCAACCGAGTACTGGGTATGTTACACATAGAACAGCTCAAACTCAGCTCACTTCATGCCACCAATAGGCCAGAAATGGAAAGGAAGAAATAATTTAAAATGTCTACACAGACCACGTGGACACTTGTAAGGACAGTGTCAGGTGGTTTCTCTCTATTTAGATTCTTTTTCGTTTACTTTTGGCTTTTCTGTTTACATATGCTTTAAAATTCAGAATTCACTAAAAGGAACACATAGAAAAGTCTCTGTCCCATCTGTAATCCACAGCCAGTGAATCTCATAGACAACCCGAGTCAGGTTCTTGCATATTCTCCCAGAGATACAAGTTCATATATATTTTCATACACACATATATACACACATATAACATACATATATATATAAGTAATATGTTCTATAGACCCTATACATATAATAAACCCTATACATATCTAGACATATACATATATACATACCTATGATAAAGTTTAATTTATAAATTAGGTAAAGTAAAATATTTTTACTATATAACAATCTCAATGTATATTATTTTTCCTGTCTTTACCAAGTTGAGAACTTTTACCTTTTCACTTGAAGTTTCTTCTTGGCATGCTTGAACTGTCAGCATCATTGCTCTTGAACTCTGTGCTCATGATTAAGTTAAGTAAAGGTAAAGGTTATCTGGACACAAGCACAGAGATAGCCCAACAGGCCAACAGATAACAGATGGTTTTTCAGTGACTGGCAGGTGGGTAGCATGTACAGTGAGAATGCTCAGTGACTTGTGGGTGGGTAGGTATATGCCAGACAAAGGGATGTGGTGTGACATGAGTATGACAGAGACATACATGCAAGATTTTACCACGCCACTTAGAGAAGCATGCCTATAAAAGCCATGAATTGCTTATTTCTGGAATTTCCCATTTAATAGTTTCAAACTTCAGTGGAAGCTGTGGTACCACAGGTTTTATTCAGAGTGTGGAAATAAAATTTAAAAAAAGAAGAGTGCTACAGTATTTCAATACTCTCACTGTTTTATTTTCAATGTAATTGTTTTTTCTATGTATGAGTGTTTGCCTGACCCTCTGTAAGTGCAGCCATGGGTGCAATGCCCATGAAGGCCAGAAGAGGGCTTCAGATCCCCTGGAACTAGAGTTATGGGTGGTTGTGAGTCACAATGTGGGTGCTGGGGACTGAACTCTGGTCCTCTGCAGGAGCAGTTAGGGCTCTTAACCACTGAGCCATCTCTTCAGATCCCTTTCAATATTTTTTTTTACATTTGTATGTTTATTCCTGTTATATTTATCCAAACATCAGGATATATGTTTTTCTATGTTTCGCTTCCTTTCCAGTCATAAAATATTTTTGAAAAATTTTCTTATCAGTGGACATAAAGCTGCCTCATTCTTTTAGTGGCTGCATAGTATTTTATTGTGAAAAATGTAAGAATTTATTCAACTGGTTTCCAAACTGATTGGCACTAAGGTTGCTTCCAATCTGTTGTTCCAAATGTATCACTGTTGCTGAAATGTGAATTTGGCGTTCATTCCCTTCCCAAATTCTTCAATTTATCCAATGTTTTCCAATATAATCGTGTTATTTTTTTAAGGCAATACTAAAAAAAAGATGTTTTAACAGTCCTATCCACACATTTCACACATTTCACTATGTGAATTTTGGGAGATAGAAATAGGTAAAGGGGAATGCACATTTGTCATCCGGTGGTTACTAGCCTTTTGAGCATGGGGAAGGGGGTTCTAACATTGCCCTCACAGCTGAGTCTGAGCTGCTGGTCTCTCACATTCTCCCCCAATACAGAATGCTTCAGGTGGTTTGATCTTTTGACAACTCAAGTGAACATTAGTGCAGTTCCCATTCACACTTCTCTAGTTATGAAGGGGGTTAGACACATATCCATATACTTAGGACCTGTTATAATTTCCTTTCTTTTGAGTTAGGTGTTGTTCTTGTACCTTTGTTAGAATTCTTCATATATCCAGGAAACTAGCCCTTTGTAGAGCACTAAACATTTTCTCTAAGTTTATCAACTAACTTATGAGAGATTTTTTTTTGATGCAGAACCTTTAGTTTTTGTGAATGCAAACAGATGGGCTTTTCTCCTATAGGCACTGGACATTTTGTCTTTTGGTCACATTTAGAAAGACCTTGCCCATTATTAAAGTGTAACGTATAAAGCAACCCTGTGATGTTTTCATTAACTTACTGTTTTTTTCAATATTAAACTCTTTGACATAGCTTGTATTGATTAGTGTATGATATGAGGAATGGATTCAACCCAATCTTTCTCCCCAACTGGACTCAAAACACAGATGGAAGAGTTAATCCAGGGACCTCGGGTCCATACCTCTGCATGTTCTCAGCATCCTCTATGGTTTCAGGAAGAGCTTTGCCTTTGGTCTCTGGTAGCAGCAACACCAATCCTCCGGCAACGAGGCCAACCACAGCTGAGAGACAGGCGCAAACCACATTAAAATCAGGAAAGGCAGGTTCTATAATTAGAGCTCCCTTTATTTTTTCTCTCTTTTGTGGACTAGTTTCTTATTCTTATTTATAGATTATTTAGCCATCTTTCACCTCCCTATTTTCCATCATAAATAACATGCTGATTCCAAACATCATTGGGTTACAATTCCTTTTAGGGAAATGAAATTCTTAACATTTTGAGTCAAGGTTATTCTGGGCTACAGGACATTGACACAATGTTAAGAAACCTCAGAGTTAGAAAATAACTCTGAAAAAAACCTAATCATATGAAAAAGAAGAACATAATTCTGCCAATATAAAGCATTTAGCAATGGAAATAAGCCAGAAAGCTGGACCGTTACTGGCAAACAAGAGTAATGCACTGGGGCCATCAAGGTGGCTCAGAGGGCAAAAGCACTTGCTGCTGAGGCTGATGGTGTGAGTTCAATTCCTGGGACCCACATGGTAGAAGAAGAGAACTGACTCACACAGGTTGTCCTTTGACCTCCATATGTGTATCATGGCATATATGTGAACACACACACACACACACACACACACACTGTAATTAAATTATTTTAAGAAAAGAGTTTATGTCTGTACATTACTGCATGTATAATACCAGTAAAAACATAGCTAGGCCATTTAGTTCAAATTCAGATGTTTAGACCAGATGTTCAAATACAGATGAGGCATCACTCATCTGTAATCCTAGTACTTGTGAGATTAAGGCAGGAAGATTGTAAGTTCAAGGCTATCGTGAGCTACACGAGGCTCTGTCTCTGTGCTGGTTAATTTTGATTGTTAACTTGACATAATATAGGGTCATCTGGGAAGAGGAAACCTCATCTGAGGAATTTCTCAGATCTGATTGACCTCCGAGAGATCGCCTTGACTGATGATTGATATGGGAGGCCCAAGCCACTGTGGGCAGCACCATCCCTAGTAGGTGGGCCTGGGCTATATAAGAGAGCTAGCTGAGCAAGTCAGAGAACAAGAGAATGCTTCCATGGTTCCTCTCTCCAAGTTCCTGCCTTGACTTTGTGCCCTGACTTCTCTCTTCCTCAAGTTGCTTTTGGTTAGTGTTTTTTTTTTTTTTGTTGTTTGTTTATTTATTTTTTTAATCTTCTGCACCAAAAAGAAAAAAAACAACATATATCTAAGACTGAGGATGTAGCTCAGTGGTAGAGAACTTACTCAGCACCCATGACACCCCAGGTTCAATCCCCAGTATAGCAAAAATGAAGGAGGCCAAGCACATGGGTAGAACATTTGATGCTTATGTTCACCCAACTCCTTTTATTCCTTTTTTCTCTATTTCTAATCTTTAATAACACTCATGTTAATATTTTTGGCTTCTTTAAACTCATATTGAAGATTTATAGCTCTAAAAGGTGTATTTTGATGCTTTTTCCATAATAGAATGTAGGAAGTGGGGTGTCAGTTCTTTACGAGGTCGGTTTCAAAGCCCTGCATGCTAGAGTTTAGTATTCATCAGAAATGCTGGGAATGGATCCACGGGACACTGGGCTTGAGTACAAGCCTGACTCTAAGTGCCCAAGTCCAACTCTAGCTACTGGCTGGTCTGAGGGCCTGTGAAGGGCCTAAGAGCACTCTGCCCTTTGAGTGGGATAATCCCCCTCACAGGAGTGCTCTGAGGCTGAGGTGAATTAACACTTGCCAAGTCCTGAGGATAATACCTGACCCATGGTATGGACTGTGGGCATGGCCGAGAATCATTAACTGTTCTAAATCCCCCAAACCTCTCAAATTGGCAACACATTCAGTTGGCTCTGAAATCTGGAATTGCCTGGGACGGTCTCAAGGAGGGATTGTCTACAGTGGGTTGGGCTGTGGACATGTCTTATCTTATTAACAGGTGTGAGAAGACCCAGCCCACTGTGAACAGCACATTCCCTAGACAGGAGGTCCTGAATTGTATAAAAATGGAGAAATGGCACTGAGCATGAGCAAGGTAGTGAGTGTACATTCATCTCTCTGCTCTTGACTGTGGGTGTGATGTGACAGCTCTTGGAAGTTCTTGACTTCCTCACAATGATGAACTGGTAACCTAAATTATAAGCAGAAATAAACCCATTTTTCTCCCAAGTTGCCTTTTTTTCAGGATGTTTTATCACAGTGGCAGAAGTGAAGCCAGGACAGTAGACTAGGTTGGCCTTGAACCTGAGGTCCTCCTACATCTGCCTCTGAAGTGCTGGGACCACAGGTGTGCCCCAGCACCCCGCCCCCCCAGCCAGCTTGCATCTCAGAAGAGCGTGAACGCTAAAGTATAGTAGATTCTCCAGATTACCATCCACACAGTGCTTTATATATGCAAAGATAAGCCTCACACATGATCTTGTGTTGTCCTGGTGTTGGGGATAGAACATAGGGCTTTGTTCATGCTAGGCACGCACCATACCATTGAGCCACACCCAGCCTTCCAACGCTCTCAGTACTTTTAGGTTCTTAGATGAAATAGCTATTTTAAGTCCACAGTGAACATGCTATTTCATGGAAAAGAGTGGAGAGAGAAAAGGACTTACGATGAGAAAGTCTCAGCCATAATTCCTGTGAGCTGCCAGGTTAAAGGTTGGCCACCTGCAAAGGTGAGCTAGGGATAGTCTGAGTTTACTGTGACTGTTGAAATGCAGTTTCCTCTGTGTCTTCCAGGGGAACGTGAGGCAGGAAAAACATCTACTTCAGTTCCTCTGGGTCTAGTAGCCATTAGAGAAACAGGAAGTAGCCTATTTGCTATCCAGAAATGTCCTGCTGACCCCTCAGCACCACCAACCACCAGGATTCGGACATCTCTAACTTCTCCCCCGAAGGAGTTGGGGTGTGATGGACACTTCCACAGGAGGAAGCGGGCTCTGGGACATGTCCCCCAGCCAGTGCCAGGGAGTCAGAGATTTGGGGGATGTGCCTCCTGTCAGTGGGGCTAGTCACTCTGGGGCCACACGCTGGCTATCTCAGGATAAAGAGTGTGTGTCCTATTGATGTTGGCCATCTTGTTAGTGTGTTGGAATGAGGAGGAATTCATTGGGTCTATTTCGGTGGAGAGTTATAGCAACAGCTTGAAACTTTCTCTGGCAGATCTTCAGGAGTGGAAAATTTCCTAGTCACAAATCTCTTGAGAAGAAGGGATGGGAAGGAATGAACCAGGGTAAGTGTGTGCAGGGGAACACGCGGACCCAAGAGAGTGGCAGTGGGTGTGTCCCCGGGTCCATCTGCTGTGGAGCCCGGGGGAAAGGTCGGTGTGGCCTTCCCTGAGGAAAAGGGTAGGTGTGGTTAAAAGCTGCTCAGAGTGGATCTGAAAGGAGACTAGAGTGGTGACTGAGGTGCTCTGGTTACCCAGAGTGGGTGAATGAGTGTGCCTGATTCTCAGACCACACTCACCCCTGTAGACACACACACACACACACACACACACACACACACACACACAC